AAAAAAAAAAAAACACACACACAAGCACCGAGTAGCAGAGTCAAGTCTTGGACCTTGGGGCAAGCCTGCTATGAGAAACAACAAGGTAGTTTAGGGTTGAGGGCTGAGAGTTCGATAGCGTGTTAGAGGGTTGGATAGACGTTGGGTTTATATATGAGAACTACATTACTACTAAGCTGCTAAAAGTACTACTATAACTACTATTGGTACTGTTGTAGGCCTTCGGGGTTGGGGTTTTGGAGTTGTATAGATGTGAGGGTAGGGCTTTGGGGATTTTTAGGGTTTAGGGTCTTGTGTTCAGGGTTTTTGGGGGTTTGAAGGGCTGGGGTTCTAAGGTTTAGGGATCGAGCTCCATGGTTTTGAATTTGGGGTTCCAGAGTTAAGGGTTCAAACAAAAATTGGATAAACGGACTAAGAGTTTGGGTTGGGGGGTTGGGTTCAAATTCCCAAGACAGGTCTTACCGGGATTGCTTGAGGGCTTCATATGGGCTGTGTCGGGATGATGCGGGGATGCCTGAATGATTGGCCCCTTCTCGCGGGTCGCTAAACTAAAGACCGCATTGTGCTTACTGTCTAGGGCTAACAATTAAGAAGAGCACGAATAGAAACCTGCGCAAGATACTTGGTCGTGTTGCCATCAAGCCGCTCCAAATAAAACAGTTCTCAGCCATGTTGCTCCAGTACTTTTGGCACAAGACATGGAACCAGATACTTTTTTGAGAAGAACCGGGCAATACCCTGTCTGCCCCAAGGATGACTATGTGGGGTATCATGTTGGGAGAACCATATGCTCACATGACCTGCCTAATTGCAACTGTTCTCCTACTTCCCCCCCCACATGCCCCCTAGGTTCCCCCTTCATTAAGATTTGTTAATGATGATGAATGCTAATTAAGATCAATTAAGGGGAATCAAGGGGGTACAGTATAGGGGGAAGGCAGAACAGGGGGAAGGCGTAGTAGGGAGACCCACAAGATTCTGTCTGCAGAAAGCCTTGCAGACTGCGCACAGGAGCTGCACCTGCCAGGGGCTTCCGAGAAAGAAAAAAAATACACAACAAACGGTATGCCTTAGCTGGAGTCTGTAAGAGGACGATTGCAGTCTTTTGGGGGTAGGATGGGGTAGGGCATAGTTTTGCCGCGTCCTCAAGGTGGATCCCATCCGTTTGGTGCTACACCAGGAAGCTCTGAGCTTCAGAAAAGTCACTTGACGTCTTACCCTGGAATTGCAACCCACCTACCATCTTAGGGACCCCTAACTCAGCCATTGACACAAGCCTTGGCTGAGGGCTTCACAGCAACGTCGAAGGCTTGCTGAGCTGTCCTTATGAGCGCATATGCGCGCAAGGCTTTTTTGGAGTTTATTTTACAACGTGCAAGATGAAGCTGGGTTCTGAAACTCGCCAGCGGGGTCTTGGCATAGTGTAGGCTACGTGCCTAAGCATGATTGTGAATGCGTCAGTATGGGGCCTCGCAACCCAGCCAAGAACCTGACTCATGGGCAAGCCTCTCATTCGGAGCTGTCCGCTTCAAAGCGCGCGTCCACAGACCGACACTCAGGTCTGCCAGAGTTGCGCGCACATAGCCCGACACGGTGTCCTGCAGAGCGACTGCGGCATAGGGCCTCGGAACCTCCACCACTTTTTACTTTCTATTCCCCCTTTGCCCGGCTCCTCCCGTGGCATGGTTTGCAGTGCTGCTGCCAGAACGGGCGGCTTCCCCAGCAGGGAAAGCCAGCGAAGCTCCTTCTAAGTTCAGGACACCAAAAAGTCTTGTGATAGTTTAAGTCTCGCGACAGCCTGCTCAGCCCCCAGCTGCAGCACGCGGACGCTTCTTCAGGGTCGACGAGCAGGAAACCTAAGGCCAGAGATCGCACGCCGGCATGCCGATGTATGCCGGCTTGTCAGCAATCCGAGTTACGAAGACTGGCCAGTCGCCGTTGGCCAGCGCGCGGAGGCATGACACCTCGCATACCTAAAGCCAAGTGTACTTCACCATGAGCCAACTGTGCGCACTGGGCCTCCTCCAGAAAGTCTGCATCCAAATGCTGGACCGTGATGTCCTGTCGGATGGCTCTCAGCATCTCTGCCTCCCAGGACCATGCCTCAGCTGTGAAACCGACGCTCTTCCGGTGCTTGAGCCCTTTTTGGCTTGTGGCAATGCTCCTGGTGCTCTCCTGGGTTTTTGTTCAAGCTGGGCTGCACGGCCCGCTGAGAGAGCGTGCTGCAGGGCCTCACGGAGCACCTTGGCTGTCTGTAGGTTGTAGATAGTGTATTAGATTATAGTATACTGTATTACATTATTGTCTAATATACTATATAATATTAGAGGTCGGTGCCATTAGCGTGACAGCCTGCCGCGAGGTCCTACATCCAGGACTACTGGCCTCAACAGCCTTACCACAAAATCTCGAACAAGCTACAAAGAGTTTTTGCAGAGGAACCACCAAACGTAAGATGAGCCAAAGCTAACAACTTAACTGCTTTGACTCATTGCCCAATGCCGACGAGTGAGCTGGTAAAGGCCGAATCTGCTCTGGATCACGCAGTTTTGTGGCATCACGCAGGTAGCCTGGCGATAGAGCTTCTGGACGGCTTGACAACTGTCCACATCAGAAAAGCAAGCTCCACGCCTCGTTCCAGGGCGCGGCATCGGCCGACAAGGGGCCCCGACCCTTATTTTTCTGGGGACTCGCACCGTGCCATGCATGGTATAAATGATGCGGAAGCCTTCAAAGAATGCCTTTCCGATCCAATGCCGTTCTGCTGCTTTGGGGCACCATACGCACCACTGGCTGATGATTGGAAACCAGCTTCAAATCCTTCAGGGTATCTGCAGGCCCAACAGCCGCTACACCACGTGGGGCCTAAGGATCTTGCAAACACAACTGAATACAACTAATTAGCGTCAACTCGCACCCTTTTGCATTCTGAAGCTCCCGACAACATGTAAGACAGTTTCGAGGGAGGGGCTGGCAGATGCCGGTTGGTTGGATGCACACCACTCAATTTACACTCCCAAGCCCGAACTCCCAAAACCCCAACCCTCAACCACTCCTGGCTAGTAGTTGTTGAGGCTGGTGCATTGACATCTCTACTGCCAATAGATGCCTAAAAGATCAGGATTCCCCTTCTCATATCGTTTTCACCTCCATGATCCTCCTCTTTCTCCATTACGATCGGGAGGCCTGATCTACGCGGGCCATCTTTGCAAAGCGGCCGCGACGGGCGCCGAGGCGCTCGGCCGACTCCTCCACAATGAGCCACATGCGCTAAGTCCAATTGCTCCAGCTCTTGAGTGATTCCGTCCAATTGGGGTATCCTCCTAAGAAGGGTGTCGAAGCATCGACTCGTACATCCACGACAGCACAACTTTTGGGATGTCATGGTCTAAGCGTCCACCCCACCATGACCTCAAGCAAACACTCCACCGGACCGGAAGGCCATAAATGGACAACATAAGGTCATGTGGGGTTGCCCAAGATTAGGACTATCTTTTTGGAGATCCCTATAACAAGGATTACAGTAGATGGCGGTCTACATGGGGGTCCCCCCAATTTTTGGGAAGCTACCATTGTGGACAGCATCCTTGCCGTTTAATTAAGACTAAACTTCAAACGCCAGCACCCCGATCATTGCAAGACCTCCAATACGTAGAAACAGGGTCGGTCGTGCTGGTCCCCTCCACTGACCCTTGCATCTAAACACCGAACATGATCCTCGAACCCCAAACTCCTAACCGATAACCAGGACACACCCCAACAGCTTCTCACCAGCTACATTGCCACATAGAAGTGTCCCAAAATAGGGGAACCCAATATAAACCCCTAAGGTCTACAGTCCTTGGTATGGGGACCCCCAAAATGCTTCTCCTAATTTTGGGAAGCCGCGGAGTCCTCGAGGCAAGGAAGCTCGTCCGGCACAGGGCCAGCTGAAGATTCGACAACATCCTCCTCGGAGAACGTGGGGGGCGAGATAATGCCAATGGTTTAGGGTTTGAGGTTCAGGGTTAAGGGCTAGTTTAATAATGAAGCCATATGAAGCCTAAGTAGTAATAGCAATAGCCCTAACAGTCGCATTCGCAGTAGACTGAAAACAGTAGGCAGCCACAACAGTTCCATAACTGCGCGTACTAGTAATTGTGAACTGTAGACACCGTTCATGCGCTGAACGTGTAGATCATGGAGCAATCATCATCGTAGTAGCAGCAGTGATAGCTCTGACATCGTAATGCTACTGGTCGTAGTCATATTTCATAACCACATTAAAGCAGGATAGTATCTGAACACCAAGATGGATCTGCAGGGCTTGTACCCAGCACTTTCTGGAGGCTACATTGTATCATTTCAGTTTCTGAGTTGACAAGTCTTCTCAGGCAGGGGAACAGATGAAAGATGAACACCCGCTACACGCAGGCGGATGAGCTGAAAAAACTACTGTTGAATATTGCTGGCGGTGCAGCTTAACGTCTAGAACGACAATGCAGCCAAGTGTCTTCGTAAGCTGCACCTGCTGAGAAAAGCTGCAAGGACTGTTAGAACCCCTGCTCGCTGCGGACACTTCGCCCGCAGCACTGATCACCCTCGCAAAGCCCTTGCCTAGCGGCCAGAAGTCGCAGCCATAGGGAACCTTTGGGTGATCTGGGCAGCCGAAGTAGCCTGCAAGCAGACGATTTTCAGGCAGGAACAGCGAAAACATGCCCTGGCCTGTGGCTCTGAAGGCTTCCCGCGAACACATTGCTGGGAACAGCGCTATGCCATCCCAGGCCTGAAATATCTGACAATCACAAGCTACACATCCGAAGTAATTCGGCAGGGCAGGCCTTGGGAACGTCAAAGGCCTTTCCATGCCTGGGCTTCATTAAGCGCTCGTCAGAACAACCACTTCGTTGAGAGGCCCTTTGCAAATCTCGGTAGCCTTGTAGCGGTAGCTCTGCTATCAAGGGGACAACGTCCTCCATGTCATCATCAAGTGCTAGTCCAGCTGCCAGACGCCATTGACACCGAAGCTTATCTGGCGCAGGACTCGATCCTGCGGCCAACCAACTCACTGAGAGGACGCTGTTGCCAAAACATGCTTGCTGGAGGACTCGCCACGCAAAGTTCAGATTCGTGCAGGGAATGAGCCGGACACCAGCGCTTGACTATGGTCACTTCCGCTGCTGCTGGGGGCTGTCCAAGCAGCAGGTGACCACGTCGCCAGCTTCAAAGGGAACGCCGTAGTCAGCAAACTTGTTGCGATGGCCTGAAGTCACAAAGACACCAAGATCTGGGCCATGGTTCCTGAATGGTCGCATAGACAAATTTTCCAAGGCTGCCAGGGCGCTCTTCTTCCCGGTGCCTCCAAAGCCAAAGCCTTCCGCGTCCTCTCGGCTCAAAAACGTTCTCGTACAAGTATTGGCGTGTCTTGCTTGCTAAAACTCGCTCGGGATGATTTTTGCAAATGTGTGCCCGCTATGAACGGACAATCGCTCACTTGGCTACGACGTGCTCTCGCCTCATGACCTCCCCCCCTCCGGCCGTACCCAGCGCCAGTGAGGCAGTTGACGAGGACCAGCCAACTCTGAGAAGACCCTCGGTGACCTTCACTTCAAAGCAGTACTGGCCTGAGGCAACGCAGCTGCTCACAGCCGTAGCAGCTCTGACTTGACTCCGTGGTTCTAATGGAAGCCAGGCACCTGTCACGACACCAGGGCGTCCACGCAGCCCAATCCAGGCTCGCTGAGTGGTTGCACAGGCCACCCTGTAGCAACCTGCCATACAACACTACTTCCAAGAGGTATGCTTCAAAGACGGGCATGTTTGGCACCTCCAGTCAGTGGATCTTGCTCCACCTCGACTTCTGCATCCTTGCAGTTCGGATCCTTGGAGGACTTTGCACTCTGATTCCCTGGCTTCATCGTTTAAGCTTTGTGGTTCTGCTGGCCTTTCAGGGAAAAGCAAAGTCCGTTCTTGGAAGGAGAGCTTTATTAACATGACTTGAATTTACCGAGCCCCACAACGGGATTCCTGAAAAGATATCAAAGAACACACGACATCACAGACTTTAAGAGACATAGTACGGATCCTGAATCAGAATTTCGTAGGGATTGACTGGAGAAACTCCCACATGAGGCAGATGAGGCAGGCCACCCATCCGGCAAGAGCTGCGCTCCGGCGGCGCTTCATGGAACATGGCACGTGGCGGCAACACAACGCCACTCCTAGTTGCCGTTGCTAAACCTAAACCCCTAAACCCCTAAACCCCCAAACCCTCCCTAAAACCCTGAACCCTAAACCCCTAAACCGTCTCAGGGGTTGACTCTCTGGCTTGGCTGGTTCCCCGGGTCACATCCGTTTGCTTGCTAATATTAACGATACTTAACGATATTGAGCATGATTTACTGTAGCATCAATACATACTGTTGATACTAAAAAAACCTGCATGGCCCTAGTATACTACAGTACCCTAATTCCCAAATTTTTTTGGTACCTAAGGTCATGCAGGATTTTTAGTATCCACCGTACCAATAGACTAATTGCTCTGCTGCTAACCTTCAGTCACGCCTTATGATATACAGCAGCTCTTCCCAAGGACTGCAGACTTGTAGGGAGCAAACCTTCATGCCGGTCTCCTGTTTGGATGTCGCTACTCGTTGCATGAGCGAACCTCGCCGTTGTTCAGCAGGCTTGAAGTGTCTTCCAGGAAGGACTCCTGCCATTCCAGCTGGAAATCAAGACGTGCCAAGAAAGAACAAACAAACATGCCCCATGATCTGCAAGAGGAAGCGCCTTCGGAATCTGGGTGTCTGCAAGCAAGAACGTTACCTTCAAACATGCAAGACGATAGTTGCAAGAGAGGAGTGACAAGTCTTCCCTAATCAATCGGGTTTTCTATCATCAGGCATGCACTCCAGGCTTCTGGAGCACATGCTCTGCAGAAACGACAAACACATAATGCTCTCTGGCGCCTGCGTCGAACCACCTCCGACCATCATCAGCAGACGTTTCACCTCGGCTTTTTAGTCTAAGCTGGCATAATTTGCAGCTTCTTCTCCGAGACCCGGGCATCATCATGCCAATCTGACACACTGTAGTTCTTCGTGATTTCGATGGAAAATTGCTCATACCTGCTGCTTCCAAGCCAATGCCTTGTGGATGAAGTGAAGGTTTCAAGGTTCGGCTCAGTCCCACCCCCACAATCTACCAAACTCCACCCACACAGGCAAAACTGCTCCATCCCGCTCACTCGGCCACAAAGGTGGCTAAGGATGCCAAGCTCTTGCGGCCGCTGCCTGCTAGGGACCCAAGCACTTTGGGCTCCTACAGTCCCACGTTGTCAACCGCATAAACCAGTGCATCCTGGCCTCCGACACCAACGAGAAGCGAATTGCCCAGAGGCGTCTTCAAAACACGCACCTAGGTGTGAAGGCCTAGTCGTGCCGCGTCGTAAGCACAGTAAGTTTTACTTTAAGCTCATGGACAGATCGGATTGCCACCTCTGTCGGATTCCAGTTGTCTCTTCTTCTTCTTCTTCTTCTTCTCCTGCACCCCTCGCGACGTCCAGGAAGGACACCACGCGGCAACCCCCATGGCACATCCTCTATCAAGTATATACACAGAAAATCTGTTGACAAAGAAATTGACCTTTTCTTGACCTTTCCCCATGTCCCCCCTCGTGTATTTTACAAACCCATGCCCCCATACTCCCCAGGAACTGGGTCAAGTGTCGGCCCCCGCCTCTCAGTTTCCGCGGCCATCACAAGAACAATGAGCAATTTTCGTGTTCCTTTCCATTATCCTTAAATAACCCCCAATGTCCCCTTCAACCCCCTTTTATGGAAGGGGTCTGCCAGGAAGGCTTCTTCTTCTACGGGCTAAACCTCCCCCTACGGGTAGGTCGGGGCGCGGCCCCGAGCCCAAGCGGAAGGCTTTTTCTTTCTTTGTTTCATACGGGCTATGGGAAGGGTCTGGAGACCCTTCCTGGGCGTCTCTGCCAAGCCCCTGTTGGGCTGCACGGACTAATCCACGCCTCTGTGCACTTTATGGTTGGGCAGAAAGCTTACCTACTAGAGGACTGTAACATGGTTTGGTAATTACAATTTTTGCAACCATTGAGTGTTTTGCTACGTTGTGTTGTCAAAGTTGCTGCACGGCCTTCACTGTGAACCAGGTGAATGACAACTATGTACTTGCAAGTGATTGTGGCTGGGGCTTTGTGAAACTGACTGCGGCGTTTACCAAGGCGTCCCTCTACCATGGCTTGATTTAGTTGAGCAATCCTGGTTTGTGGTGAGACTGTTGGACTGTTGTTTGGGACAGAACTCTGGCTACAATTGGGGCCTATCATCCCTTTGTTTTACACCCCGGGTCCAACTTTCAAACTAACTCTGAGCTCTTCAGTGTCTCTCAGTTGGGCTCCTGGAGCAGCGCCTTCTCTTCTGTTTCGTAGGTGACTTTTGGCTTGTTCGCATCCTCCTCTTCGTGGTTGGGCTGTGCCTGGTTGGCATGTCCTTCCAGCTCTTGTTCACTGGGTGTGAGCTGGCTTGTCATATTGTCCTGGCACTCCCAGTCCAGTTGAGTGAGGGGTGCATTGAACATGTCAGGTTGCCACGTTGTGGTTGCTGGTGGCGGAGGGGATCTGCTTCTGGATGTGTGGCGTCGTGTTGCTGTCTGGCCTTCTGCTGGCTCTGTGTGCTCTGTCGTGGTGTCTGACTTTGGTGGTAGTGGTGTGGTGTCTGGGTGTGGTGGTGGCAGTGGTGTGGTTTGTTTGGTGGAGGATGGTGTGTGGTTGGCTGCAGCTTCTGATCGTGGTGCACCATGCTCTGTAGAGTTTTGACTGTCAATACGAATGGCGTCATTGTGATGTGGCGTGGATGGTGGGACCATGTTGTTGTCTAGAATCCTTGCCACAAGCTGCTGCATCTGTGTTGTGAGTGTTTCTGTAATCTGGAGTGCTAAGTGAAGTTCTTCTGCTGGTGGTGCTGGGTGTGGAATAGGATTGTTGGTTGCTGTGATGGATGTGGTGGTTGTTGCCAGTAGCTGGTGCTAGAGCAAATCTCGCACGAGTGGCAAACCGTGCTGTAAGGAGGTGAATGGCGTTTGGTTGCGCAGGAAGTCATTGACGTGGAGGTGGTGGTGGGTGTGTTGGCTTGTGTGGCCGCTGCTGCTGCTGGATGCTTCTTGGTGTGATGGGTGTTGCCTCACGGTCGGCGCCGCTTTGCATGCTGTGTCTCTGTCTTGTGGTGCATGTTGCTTGGGGTGGTCTTGTTGTTGGTTTCCTCCTTCTTGTTCGCGTGGTGCTTCTGCTTTTGCTGTAGTGTTCTTGCTTGCTTCCGTGGGGCGTGGCTTGTGTGCTTGCTGCTCTGGTCCAGGCTTTTGCATGAATGAGACATCTTCTGGTGGTGCTTCTGGTGCGTCACTGCTGGTCTCTTCTGCTGCCGCGTCTTGGCTCAGCTGTCCTTCTGTCTGTCGCGCTTCTTGTGGTGGTTGCTGGTTGTCTGTGCAGGTGGTTGGCTGTGTTTCTGCTGTTGTGCTGCTGTGTGCATTTGCTGGGATGGTTTGTGATGGTTGTGGTGATGTTGCTTGAAAATCATGATAGAAGTTGGTGGCTGGTGGGTTGGCAGTCTCTATGAGCCATTGTTTTTTTCTTAGTCTGGTGAGGTGCCAGTGGCTGGTCTGTGGCAGGGTCGAGCCCGACAAGTGTAAGGTGCGTTGTGTGGCTTCACTGACCTCTGTGCTGATGCCTTGTGGTGTGGTGCTTGGGCTTCTTGCTCCTGCTGGGTGCATGCGTTTGTTGGCTTGGTAGTGCTGTAGTTTGGCCTGGAATTCTTGCTCCCAATGTGGAATGATGCGGGGCTCTGCTGGAGCTGCCCTGAGGAGGAATGTTGGTTGGAGCTGGTGGGTTGGTTGATGGTTGTGTGTGAGTGGGTGTGTTGTGCTTGGCTGTGACAGCGGAAGGCTTTCTCTCTCTTCTTATTATTATTGTTCTTCTTCTTCTTCTTCTTCTGCTTCTTCTTCTTCTTCTTCTCCTCTCTCCCTCTCTCGCAGCAACATCGTCCTGTTGCTGAATCCTTGCCAATTCAAGTCTTTTCTGGTGGCTTCGCAGTCATTGTGTTGCTCCACTTACTCCTGGCCTCCGCTTGTTCTCTCTTTTGTTCAGGCGACGGGGCTGGGGAGAAACCTTACCTGGCAAGTCCTCTGCCAATTCTTAGAAACTCCAAGAAAATCAGGGGAACTTCCTTGGCCACCAAGAGAACCCAAGCTTCAAAAGTTGCGCGATCTCCTTTTTCTTTTGAGCTTGATTTTGAAATAGGAAGCGCCGACACAGCACCGCATGACCCAAGCCTGGAGCATTTCCCGTCAAAAAAACTTCTGAGGCCTGTAGGGAAATGCGCACAACGAAATCTTCTCATTGTAAACGAATATGAACAAAAGGAGGGAGTAAAGCGGCATGTGCATCACCTCAGTGCTTCCCATCTAGGACCTGGGTTCAAGGCATTACAAAAGGGCGGAGACATAACATGTACATGAACTAGACAACTCGCTAAAAGACTCAAGCTCAAAGGTTCTCCCACGATGGGTAAATTTTCCTGATACCATGTGGGGATGTGAAACAAAGGCCAAACCATGATCAGCGTTGTCCATTGAGGACAACAACTGTCTCTCCCTCTCTCTGGCCCCTCCCTGACAATATCAAGGACAGTTCCAGGTGGGTAGTTACCCTTATAAGGGGCCTATATAAACCTCATATAGGCCNNTATAGGCCCATTACCCTTATACGAGCCTTATATGAGCCTTATGTGGGGGTACCCACCTGGTAACTACCCACTGGAAACTGTCCCTCCGTGTATCTGGCCCAAAGCTGGGAGCAGGGCAATGCGGCAAATATGCTGCGCAGCCGCCCTGACACGTTCGCACAAGAGCGTCAAGATCGATCCCTAGCACTTCAGGAGGTTCCATACGAAACCTTACTGATCTTGGGAGTTTGAGATTCTACCTTCCCTTGCACGGGACAGACTGCAGATGTAAACACACTGTGGTAGTTTCCATTCTGTTTTCCATTATCCCTATATAATCCCTATATACTATAGTAGTTTCCATGTTCTTTTCCATTATCCCCATTTAACCCCAATATATACTATAATATCAATTTGCAGATTGGAGGTGAAGCTTCTTCATAATTAGTGCTGGGCCTTGATTGGTGCTGATGTGAGGTTCAGGAAGCTTGGGCCGCAGCATGAAGAGAACGAGCTCCATGCTTCGCTTGGCCATGGAATTGTAGTCCATCAAGCGGTTCTTCCTGACATGCGCTCGATGCAGTCAAAATCGTTAACACTCACGTGAGAATATGGTAGCTTCCCAAAACAGGAAGTGGGGGGTCCCAATATAGACCCCAAAATAATAAAAGCCTCATTGAGGAAGCCATGTAGCTGATCCCGCACATCTCCAGCTTCAAAACTAAGACGTGCGGGAGCCACAGCACATCATTGAGCTGCTCATAGTCAACAACCTGCTGGTAGTACGGAGCCTTGCCTGGGCATGGGAAACACCCCGAAACGAGTGATAATTCCAATGATAAAATGGGCTACCACAGAACATGGTGTGCCTCATGGTTTCACTTGTGAAAGGAATATATAGCATTGTAATATTGCAGTACTATTGCAGTATAGTGACGTAAATATATATGTATGTATATACATATATATCTGGTGCATAAATAAATGATAAATATAATATCTATATATATATATAGAGATTGAACCTAGTTAGCAGCTTTGGACCGCTTGGCCGACCCGAGATCTCGGCTATCTGCAAAGTCAATAAAAATCAGCGGCTCCTGAACACGTCCAAATCCATTCCTGGTACCATTGCCCTTATGCTTACTCTTACTATAACTGTAGCTGTCGCTACTACTGTTACTGGTTACCAGTTTGGATCCGCCTGAGCTACCACATCTCAGCCTGGTAACACCTGTGCGCGTCAATGTGATCGGTCTGTCAGCTGACCTGCTTGATGACAGCGCTCCACTGCTTTTTGAAATGCTCCTGACAGGGCGCATGAAAAATCCTACCAAGCTGGTTGATGAGAGCGGTTTGTGGTTCAAGTTAGCAGGCGCGATATCCTGCAGCTTTTCTCGAAGCAGCTCGTTGAACCATGCCTTATAGCAAGACACAAACAACACCAAGACAGATGACAGGACTGTGCAGACTTGTCCGGACGCAGAATACCCTAAACCTCCAAAAAGTAGTTTCCATGTCCTTTTCAGTTATTCCTATATAATCCATGTATACCCCTATATACCCGCACATATTCCTTTTATCCCTGTACACATACCTATATATATATAACTCATACATATAAATATATTGTATTACAGCATATCTATATCTATAACTATATAACCACAGCACCAAAGCTTCAGGTCGGCTTAAGTTGGTCACGTTGTCTTCCTCGTTGATGAGCCGATCCTGGCAAAGGATTGAGAAACTTTAAGTTATTTTACAATATGTGTATGCATATATACATACATACATACATACATACATACATACATACATACATACATACATACATACATACACATATTGGTTATATAGGTTATATAAGATAATGGAATATGGTGGATGTACAGGGATATATATGGGGCCCACATGTTCACGTCACCCCGTTTTGTGGCGCTTCAACTGGACAATTCTACCATTGCAATTCGCACACTTCGTGCTATTTCTGCAAGCTTGTTTTGCGGGCTCACAGGTCCAGCACAACCCGACCAGAAAGCATTAAAAAGGATTTGAAGCAGGCTCTTCTAACTTCTGCGTGATGGTAGACGGCTTGGATCTACTATCAGGAGAAAATTCACGCTGCCTTTTTCCCTGCGAGGCTGCGAAAAACAAGAGCGCTTTCAGGAACGCAGAACAAATGCGGCAAGCCTATTTACTGCCGCGCACTGCTAAGCCCAGATCTCACTGACGGCTCTTTTAGCAAGAGCATTTTTCAGAAAAGTCATGTTGATTCGCAAGCCGCAGAGCACACTGCTTTTGTTGGACAGAAACACAAAGCGTCATAAACCAATGGGCTGTGTCCCACTGCAGCCTTGTCTCTCGCATACATGCCAAAACAATGGTGCAAAACGCCTGTCCCAAGGGCCGATGGCTCTCCTCCAGTCCACCATTCGCTCCTGATCTTGCACTCCAGAATCTTTCAGTTTGCGGACCTGTTGGCAGTTAGATGGGCCTTGTAGTCCAGGCATTTGCATCTGAAAGATGCTTGGATATCCATTTCTCTGCTTCAATGTCATAAACTTGGCGCGAGTCCGCCAGCGTTGTAATGACTGGCAGGGCTTTTGAACGATGAAAATGGATCTGCTTATTGTCCTTCTCCATATGAACGTGCTCCGTGACAGATTCTCGTCATAGACCAAGAACATCAGCAAGGTTTTGTCCATCGCGATGCAGTCGGCCAACCGGTTCAGCAGCCGCTACTAGCGGAACCCTTCAAACATCTTCCAAATATGTAGAGCGACCACACCATCTTCCAATTATCTTCCACCACAAGATGGCGTAGTGGCTCCTTCAGATTGGATGGGCCCCGCTTTCAGCCAAGTTGCCAACCGCATCTCCATGAGTAATACACAGGCCATTCAAATGCAAGTCTTGAGGTGGGTGATTTGACGTGGCGTCTACTACCGCGCCAGCTCAAACAGAAAGTGCTATTTACTTGCTATTTGAGCTTGTGCAGTAGTGATAGCTACATCACATCACCCATCTCAAGACTTGCAAGATGCGCTTCATGATTGTGGCATCAGGTCACTCACGTCAGCAAATGGAGCTGATGTGGACGTGGAATTCATCAAAACATAGCGGCCAACAGCCTGACTGAGCATGCCAGAATCAATATGATGAAGCTCGTGCCAACTACCAACCCTTGCTCAATCAGGTTGTGGGCTGTCTTATCTATGTTTGCACTGCTTGCCTGTTCAGGTGCAACTTGCACCTGAAACAGACAGTAGCAGTGCAAACGCACACAAGGTGGCACAGCGTTGCACGCTTTTCAATCATCCATCATGGAAACGAATCTGCTTCTTGTCCTTGATGTTGCTCCTGTCACTTCATGATGAGCTTGTTCTGCGATGGAGTGTTGTAGCAGACCAAGCTCATCATCAACGTTTTGCCCATTGAGATGCCTGCATCTCCATGAGACGCCTGGGCTGCAGCTGCGAGTTCATCCTGAAGGCTTGCCCGTGACAGTACCTCGCCATACCTCACCACAAACCTTCACCATGCCGCAGGTTTTTGCGTTTCCACTTGATTTTCCTTTGTTGGATCCATTTGGGTCTCCATCATTCCTGAACGTTTTGGAAAGCCCTCCAATACTGCGAGCTCTGCCGGAGCGCTACTGTAACGGTACCTTGGGTTCGAAGAGGCGTCAAAAAAAAAACCGCCGCCAGCGGTGCAGATGTGGGCTTGGCGGCCTTTTCTGGGCATGTAGCTTGGCACAGTCGTCAGGCATTTTCATACATGCAGGATCTTGTTGCTTGTCAACCTCAAGTCTTCTTTTCCAGATATGCCTCCACGTATCTACCAGACACGGCCAAACTACAGCTGAAAGCCTGTGGCTAATGATGCCACAGGTGTGAGGTTGGCATCGGTTAGGGAAACCCGACTCCATACTTGATCCTCAGCGCTGCACCCAAATTCATGATGCTGTTTCGTATGCTCATGGTCATGCATGCTCTTGACAGCTTCCGCCCGCTCCCAGTAGCGCCTGGAAAACTCGCTGGCATTCGTGCACCCAGCACTTGATGAAGTCATCTGCGGAAGGAAGCGACTCCTTGCTGCAGAGGCAGATCCCCTGGTTGACCTGGGACAAGTTGTACGTTGGATGTTCCTGGACTTTGCTTGGTTCTGTAGCAAACAATCCACAAATTGCCTTGGCAAGCAGGATCCTCAAAAGGCATTCTGCTTAGAGTATTGTCACCGTACTTACACACTGGGTTGTCAAGATTGCTTGTCACAAACACAGGCATGCCAGCCTTTGCCAGGTCCCTCAAGTTGAAGGTGTAGTGCGACCTGACATCCGATTTTGCTGGCTTCTCCACGTCTTGGCTCCATGTAAGGAGGAGGTCCCCAGTATTGAGGACGTCCAAGAATCAGCAATGCACAGGCGATTTTTTAGAACTACCCAGCTTTTGTTGTGCTGATCGGCGGCTTACCTATTTCTTGGAGTGCAACCTGACTTAGTGGCAGTGCTGATCCCAGTGCACCTGTCCATTTTGAGGACTACCGGGCACAAGACATGTGGATTTCTGAGCACATGACTTGGCGGGCGTGGGGAGCATGTTGGCCGAGATGGAGTGGTAAACGTCAACCTTGGGGCACAGCTGCATCCATGGATTGAATGGCAGCTACATGGCCAAGACTGCAACCGTCGCTTTCACTACATTGCCGCTGAGCGAGCTGACCTGTGACAGGGCACGCAGATGCACACAGCATGTTCGTGTGCATCCTGCAATGCTTTGAGTTTAAATGGCATCTACCTACATGAAGTCACTTGGAGTCTGCCGTCACAGCCTGGCCAGGAAATTTGGCCAAATACCACTGCCTCGACCCCACACTCAGGAACCATGACTCAGATTTTTCACCAAAGTACGATCAAGGCCCAGACAGCACAGTTTGAAAGATTCGGTGGAGGCTCTCACCCTCGAAGGGCAGGGCATAAAAGTAGTTGTAGTGCCTGGCCGGCCCCAGAACAAAACCTTCAAGGGAGGTCCTTCATTCTTCATTGCAAGTAAAGCAAGCACATGCAAGTAAATCCAACCCTGATGGCTTGCCTCATGTAGCGGGCTGTGATCTGTGGCCGACCAGCGCTGGGCGTCAGAGCAGCAATGAAGTTCAGGTCCACCAGCTGACGGTACCTCACATCTGACTCGGCATCCCCATGCATCCACACATGTAAATCCTCACTGGCACTAAGAACCGGCTTTGCAGAAGCAAATTAAAGGGGCAGAGTCGGGAATCAGGGAGTTGACAGTCCCTGCAAGAATCTTCAAGGGAAGCGGTTCCAAGCTCCCTGCTCGCACGTCTTCCGCTCATACCATCCGCTCGTGTCCATCCACTGCCTTTAAGCCGATGAAATCATTGGTGAGGTCTGTAGACTAAGCTAGCATGAGATTCCTAAGCGATCGGACCTTAGCAGCTCGATTGGAGGTTGGGCGCCAAACTTCTCCTGCTGCCGCAATCATGGTCGTACTTTCAGGGTTCCCAGCCCATCTCAAGTCAATGATTTCTATGTGGCCTTTGCTGGCATGTTCAAGTCGTCCACGAAGACCAGGCACCGCTTTCCGAACGGTGGACCATAGCAACCTTTCTTCCTGCAACAGAGACATATGCTCTTTTCACAGAAAGCTCTTTGAGAATCAGACACGTCACCAGAATCGAAGTTACTGTCAAACGTACTTCTTGCGAGTGGGGATGGATAACAGCGAGCGGAACTTCGATGTCCCCAGTCTCTGGAAGCTATCGCAACAACATCTGCAAACCAGTCAGCCTCTTGTCCAGCTTGCCATCGATCACATCCTGCAGGGATGTCGTAAGAGCAAAAATCATAGTGGTTCAGATCCCAACTGCATCCTGGGCTTAGCTTGGGGCAGGGACATGTCTCTTGTCCTGAGTCTGGTTTGCACTGGACTGGGCGCTGAAGGCGAAAGCGAAGGTGTTGTACTTCCTTGGTGGGCTGATTGGAGCAACACCGGTATCCCCATGTATGTGGGATGTCCCTGCTCTGAGACTTAAGGGCTCTGCTCTCTGTCGAACCCTTTCAGGAGCTGCTGCTGGATCACCACCGTTTTTCCAGTGCCGGTCGGACCTTATTGTTCGCCAGCTTTTACGGAGGAAAAGGGGCAGTGAAGCCGGCCTGCAAAAAGCACATGGCATTCTGCTTTGACCAGCATCTGCAGGAAGAATGCGTTCCTGCCGGTGGCAGCTCACCAGAAGCAGAGCGTCAGAGTCAAAAGTTTGACGTCACAATCCTCACCGTGTCGGAGGTGGGAACAATGAGCGAGTGAGCCTTCACAAAGAAAGCACTGCGACCCGTGAACAACAACAGGGTGTTGTTATGGGGCATGCAGTTCTCAATCAGGACTCATTGGAAAGATTGGCTGGAGAGGGGTTTGGAGGGACAGGATCATGCATTCTCCCTGCAGGGGGCCTGTCGCGCGTGATAACACAGGAATGCTGCGTGCGGTATGCGCCTGCGCATCCTTGGGGATGTCGAAGGTGCCGATCTTCTTGCTCCACGGCTCCCACCTTTGCACTTACAGCTGACCCATCGGAGACCCTGACGTATCCCGGCAAAGGCTCAGACTTGTTGCTTGGCCCGACCGGAAAATAGTCGAAGACACTTCCCTCTTCTGGAAAACTTGGTGGCCTTCGTCAGTATGGGCAGTGGAGCAACTTCGAAATCCCTCCAGGGCTCTAGCACATGACCCATTCGCTCCAAGCTCCGAGTGTCTAACCCACCGCGAGCTTGCGCACTTGTGCGCTGAGCCGGCCTGAAAGTGGAAAGTGACAGCACTTTCAAAAGGACTGTCTCTGACCAAAGAAACCCGACCCCGGAGGCGAGGGCTCTTGGCAAAGAAGGCCGAACTCCTCCTTCATGCCCTGCGTCTGTCCTGAAAGCATTGGCGCAGGGAAGTTTAGCTGAACCGAAAGACTCCATGGGCACGTAAAGATCTGCTAGTCAATGCGAGTGAACTGCATGATGCCCACCGCTGGCATGCTTCGGTGACTAACGTTTGATATCAGCAGGTCCAGGCCTGAGGCCAGCTTGCGGAAGAAGGGATCCATCACGATTCTCCCTTCACTGTCCGTGACGCAGCCAAAGCTCCACACTAAGCCTGGCCGTGAAACAGCTGCTGCGCAACTGTGTACTGTTGACTACAGAAGTCTTAGCTGTCTCCTTGCAGCTCAACATCAACATTTCAAACAAGCCAGCGTGACTCAACCAGAACAGTGCCTGCACGATATGCAAGGAAGATAAGAGATTTGGCAACCCTGCCCTTTCTCATCAGGTCGCAGCATGCAAGCAACCTGTTCAAGCAGTCTTTTTTCTTTGGAAAGCGCTGATGCACGGCAGCGCGTATCCGTTCTTCGTGCTCGCTTCCAATCCTCAGGAAAGCAGGCGGAGGGTCGAGGTGCTGTCGAGATGCTGAGGTGTGAGCTCTCGACGCGCCCCGGACGATGATGATGCTCATATGAGCCAAAGTCTAAACTTCTGGTAATACCCTTAACAACCCTTTTCATACACCCCAATATAATCCCCTAGATAACCCCCTTCAAGGAGCGGAGACTATAGCTCATATGTGCTTGCCTTGTCTGTGGATCCCTGACGAGAGGCCACGACTCATCTGCATCTTTGGCAGGCCAAGGGAAGCACTCCCAGGAAGCTGAGGCGGACCTGCCGTGTGCCACTCTTGAGAAGGCATCAATCACATATTTGCTGCAACAGGGAGACGGTGTTTGCGGGTGCCTTGGACCATCGAAGGATGCTACAAGCAACGCGGAGATCATGTCCTCCGCAAAAGATAGGATGCAAAAATCCGGGTGGGAATGGGCATCTGTTTAAGCTTGAGGCCGTTAGGCAGCCATGTTTGCCCCTATGCTATCCTCCACACCAGCGGCTGCGAGTGAGCTTTGCCACGCGGATGCCGCCGCAGGCGGGCTGCAGGTTGCAAGAGATCATGCTGAGCATCCAATGAGAGCAACACTAACACCAAGGCTAGCAAGAATAAGAATAACAATCAACAGAAAGTTGTTGTCGAGGCGGTTTAGAAGCCATGAGTTGCGGCACAGAGGCACAAAGATGTTTTAACTAGGATCAACTAGGCGGCCTGGCACGCTCGGCAGCATAAGCAGCAGCACTTTGGCGATGCTCCTCCACAGCCCCAAGTGATCCCAAGCACTCACTTGGATGAGCATTCCCCAAGGTATGGGGCCTGGGGGATAACTTGCGGCACAGATTTCAGAAGCTACCCATGCAGGCATGTCTCCACATTTCGCTGTCCCGAAGTGATGCAGTCTCAATTGGTCAGCCCATGCCTCGGCAAAGAAAGCTGCGTAGCGCCAGCCGGCGCGATCCGGAAGCCAAGGCGGCAGTGCCTGAGAAAGATGACTAGTTGGATAACATGGCCTTCCAGTATCAAAGTTTGGAACCATGATTTTGTAAGGATCATGAGGCAGTCATTTTCCCATTGAGTCAGGTTTCTGGACGGAAGTAGCTGTCTTGTTGGGTCTTGGCTCAGGTGTTTCTCAAGTTGGGTTTCCCAGATTACCCTCAAAACAGTTACATGACTGCAAGCCGCCACCATGATGTTGAACCGCCATTTCTCATTCTCTCATGAGATTTTGTAGCAGTCAACCTGATTTGTCGAAAACTCAATTCACACCAGCACTCCAGTAGCTCCTTGTACAAGGGTTTCGCGGACGTCACCTCAAAAGAGAAGAAGACATGCAAGTCTACAATGGACCCACTTCATTACTTTCATTTGGAAACCTTACAGTATCAATGTCGCATAGATGCCCCACATCCAGACCCCTTTTGCCGAAGCTCCTTGGAAGATAAATTCGGGAACTCACCAACCATCACCTCGGATCAAAGAAGTCTCTGGCTGAGTATCGAGGGATTTGAAGTCAGGGGTTGAGGTTTCGGGTTCACAGTCTCTTGGCATACCCTGATTGAGAGCGACTCCACAGTGGTTTTTGTTGGGAATGCCCCATGAAAGCAAGGGACTCTTTGTATGCCTGCCAAACGGTTTCGTACAATCCTCGTTAGTCGGCTAGTCGATACCCATACCTTCTCCTCATGCCCATATACAGTAATGTCCATACCTTCCCCTCATTGCCATATACAGTAATGCCTATGCACAGTTATGCCCCCAGGACAACCCGAGCCCCTAAATGATCCCCATAAATCATCCCACCTACAGCCATGCTAGAATCCATATCTCAACTGAGGAGTGAGATTTCCAGCAAATAATGCACGAGGCAAAAGCAAAAACAAAGCAGATATGAAGCAAAATAGACATGCCCAAAAATGCGCGCGTGATCGATCCAATTGCTGTAGGACAGTGCTTTTTTTTGTGAAATTCTATGATTGGGAGTTGCTTCCGCTATCGGGGGACAGTGCTGGTGCTGTGGAATCTTGCGCTTAGCAGCTGTTTCCACTGTCCTCTGAAGATTTTCCCTACCTTTGCACGTCACTTGTCTCAAGCCAAAGCCGGGATTATTGTGTCCTGTACAAGCACCTGTTCCAACAGCAACGGTGACAGAGTCGGGGTAATTCAATTCCTGTTGTAGATTTGAAAATGTTGTTGCTGATTTAATGTCACTGAAGATGCTTGAACTGACTCTTGAGGCGGGGTGGTCTGAGGGTGGGCTGCCCGGCGAAAACCGGCATGAGTGCGCTCCATGCCTGTGAGTGCAGATGCCGTGACCACGCCTTAAACCCTAAGATACCTCAGGTGTGATTGGAATTTTCTTTACAGGTGCCACCACTGAGGACTATACTAAAAGGATCACGATTTAAACCTCTACTCTGTTGCCATCAAGGTGCCCAGGCGCCCCCTGAGGCTTCCAAGCACTCCACTGCTCCGGCCGCAATGCGTTTAGATACGGCCAGGCCATCGCTGCCTGGAAGCTTAGCAGAACTGCCCCCGTCCTGTATATGGGTTTACGTAGGTTTTATTGGGGAAGTAAGAATACGGCAGACACTTGAGAAAAGTGCTTCAAAACTACACCTCAGCCCCTTTCCTTCTTGGCAGAGCAAAGCCGAATACATCTTGAGCGCACACCGCCCCATTTTGAATTGAAGTGCCTGATTCTCTGGGTGCATTTGAGGCTTCTGCCAGCCTTCACAATAAAGTGCAGGCCACAAAACCTAACTTACAACCCCAGTATGCTCCCGTGACCGAAAAGCCGCATCGGAGCTAGCTTTTTCCAGCCTGGCGGACTTCCCTCCCTACACTCCAAGTATCCTGCCTCCATGCACGTAAAGCGACGCCTTGGCATCGATCGGTGCAGCCACAAACGGTGGGTTTGCCACCTGAGGACATGCGCGTCAGCTGTTGCCACTAGATGTCCATCAACGAGGAAGGCACAGCTCCATTGCTCTCAAGGCCACAATCAAGTCAAAGCCTCGCATGTTGCCAAGGCCTTCCTGAGATCTGAGATGCAGCACAGGTATGAGGCTGGACACGGCACAGTAGCATGCTTCTGCAAAGTAGCATCCAAAGCTTCGAAAAGATCTCCTTGACACACGGTCAACGAATCCAGCCCGTTGATGAGGCTGTTCACCTGAAGACGCAAGTCCATCGACTCTGAAAATGTCAACCAGCTCTGGCAACACCTTGGCAAGGTCCACGGCACGCCTGCTCAAGTCGACAGCGACCACCTGCATGAAGATAGCCCATTCTGCGGAGCCCTAACTTTCCAAAGCCCATTCCCGCATATCTCAGCTAACAGGAGTGTCCTGACGAAAGCTTTCCCAAGCTGAACTTCCCAGACCCCGATGCCACCTCCTTTGCACCACAGCGCAGGGCGTGCAGTGCAGCGATGCCGCTGCCCGTGCAGAGATCAAGCACCTTCCGCACGTCTACGTCACGGCAACATGGACCGTGCCTGTGCGTAGCAGGTTGTTGCAATGCCACACTTGCTGCCAGGCGACTCGGAGTCCAGTCAAACATTCAACCTGGCTGCTGCACAGGCGTTCACAGGAAATTGTCACCTACATGAGAAGCCCTGCAACCCTAAGCTAGTGCCAGTGGGCGAGCTTCACTTGGAGCAGTCCAATGACTTTGGACCACGCCATTATACTCGGCATACTCCACTGATATGTGAAGGATAGTGAGAGCTCTGCCCAGATCGGGCCTCAGGCCCGTCTGCAGGAGCCAGGGCCAAGCACCTTGTGGGGGGAAGGTGCACACGCGGCTAGCGTTTGGGGCTGATGCTCGCGTGCCAAGGTTCTGAGTGCGTTGAGACTGCGTGTGAATACGTCCACAGAGCAAAGACTGGCAGTATAGAACGTGCAAGGTAGTTGTCAGCAAATGATTACGCCATGGGCACCCGGCAGTTCCAGTGAGTCCGTCCCAATCGCCATTACCTGAGGCTTGCAGACTGACTTGTCTTCTCAACGAGGCGTTGACTCTTGGGAACTGACCGGCTCGCTGTCGGGTGGTCCCGCCGTCACGCTGGGCCAGTCTGTCAGGACAGCGAGACCTTGGTAGAAAAGAAAGTGAACTGTCGAAAGAATGCAAATGTATCAAAGACATTGAGAAAGGGACCTCGAAAGGGGTAGAGCTGCAAACCTGATACTACTTGTCCAGGCAGCACTTCCTGTGACCACAACGCTGGCCGTTCGTACAAGGCATGCTGCACGTACTTCCTTGTTACATCTGAGGTCCTCGAGCAAGCCAGCGTCAAGCAGTGCATCCACCTCAGACATGAGCGCAGACCCTGCTGTCCAAGCAGAAATGGGCACTTGCATTGCAGGTTGTCCCGCCTCTGCGCTGATGGCTGCCAACTCCCCCCGAGGCAGCGTCTCGCCCATGCAGAGGAGCTGCACCTGAACATGCTCACAGCAACAAGCTGGCAAACTCCTGACAGGGTGTTGGACCACATCTGCTCCCATCCATGCAGACAAGTGGCCCAAGCTTGCCGGCTCGAGTCAGGATCCACCGACGACCTTGTCGAGCCAGCTCACTGGTTCAAGCGGTGTCTGGCAAAGAGACAGAGAAAAGTCCATATTGCTCGTCGTAAGCCGGCTACGAAAAGCGCAGCTGGTGAAGATCCCGTGCTTGCGGCAGCCCTGCAGCGAGGGACTTACATCCCAACTCGGTAAAGGACGGAAGTTAACCAGGGGGTCTCACACTATCTCACGTGAGTCTGTGCCCTATCTCACAGGCCTTCCAAGATCTTTGTGAAGGCACCGAGCTTGCGAAATGCCCAAACCAGCAGATCAATGGCCTTGCAGGTACGGAGGGCCGCTGTCAGAGTTTGGAGTCCAGCATTTATCAGTTTTAGGATCGCCTCGAAAACCTCCTGACACTGAAACTTTGGGATCCTGATGACACATACCCATGACCCAAAAGGGTCCCATCTTGAGAAACCTGCATGTGGGCCTTGCTCGTCATGGCCACATTGCCAGTGGAAAGCAGCACCGCCCGACTGCGCACCTGATCCGACAGCGCTTGTAGAAGTTCCTTATAGCTTGCATACGCAGATGACACGAGTTCATCCTTATTCAAAGGAGGGTGCTTAATGTCCCATGGACCACCCATGGAAGCAGGATTGACGTAACCCCCACACCTGCGTGATGGATTTCATGTGGCAACCATGGCCTCATCTGCATCGCGCAGAGCGCTGCGCCACGCAGATGCAGCTGGGCCCTGACGGCCCGAGCTGCGCAGAGCAAAGCCCAAGTTCAGCAGGACATCGCTTGGTACCTCACCTCGGCAGTCAATGGTTTTGGCGTGGCTAGCGCCTTCCCATGGCACTGTTGGACCACTGCCGTCCAGTCTCCACAGGAAGCCTCACTCAGCGCAGCGCTGCGCTCGTAGGCCTCAACTGCTTCCTCATAGCGCCCGTGATCATCCAGGTAATTGCCCAGATTGAAGAGCTCATCGGCCCCACACGCGCCATCGGCTACATCGGCAACAAGGCTACACTCAGCTCCTTCCATGGCCCGGCATGCTGAGTGGCGCAGCTGCAAGGAAAAAGTGGAGAAGCAGCGACTGGTGAGGTTGGTGAGTTGCTGCGTTTTGCTTGCTTGGATTTGGTGCATGGCAAGGCGAATATGGTTGAATGTGCGGGACAGTGAATTTTGATCCCTTGGAACACATGCTCATAGGCTGCATATTGCAGAGAAATCGCCAACATCAAGCAGTGCTCCAGCCCACTGCCTCCAGCTTTGACTCTTTCTCCTTCACAGGGAGGTCCTTCGAGGCGAAAGCCAAGACTTCATCCAATCGCATCGAATGAAAGACACGGAAGCGGGCCCGATAAATGTACAATGCAGGTGCTGGAAATGTACAACCTTAGCAGTGTGTTGGGTTGGGTACAGTTGGTCAGCATGAGAAGCTTCAAAGCAGCCATGAGTAAGCCATCGGTGCTCTGATTTCCCCACGCACTGCCTGCGAGCTGGCCCACGACTCAATCCCCCCCGCAGAACGTGCTTTGAGAATGCTGCTACTATACTCTTTTTCGCTGCGACGCAGCGGTCCGAGCACATCTGCATGGGGACTCTGCTCAGCCAAGAAAATTAATCTACATGTTGGCTGTTGCAACCAGAATATGTGAGCTACAGTCAATTTCCCATCTACTAGTACTTAAAGGACATGAGTTCCTATAGGGGAATAGATTGGGGACCATATTAAACTACAAACGGGGCCCTAATTAGTAATTACGCCTTAATATTGTCAGTAGCTCATGTGAGCCAAAGTCTAAACTCCTGGCATCTCCCTTTCACTCCCTTTAAGGATGTCAGCTCAAGCGCTTGGAAGGGCCCTCCGCGTCCTTGGTGTTGGGATCCAGCGGCAGCTCTGCCTGCGGATGGTTTCAGAGTCCATTCGCACGATGGAAAAGAACTGACATTACTATGTTGACGATACAACGGAATACCTGCTACATAACAGCATAGTCTCCACTATATGATGATTTTTTTACGACTCGGTATTGTGGTAGTTTTAATGTTCTTCTCCATCTTTAGAGAATTGGCAAGGAAAACCAGTCGTTAGATTCCGAAATTATTTCTAGGCTCTGTGAACCCGATCTTGTCCCCAGAGTAGGCTGAGGTCCGTGCCTGGAGGAGTGCGGACATCAGGTGCAGAAGATTTAACACCAACCAGTTGATGCTGACCGGAACGGGCTTCGTGACCTTCCAGACTACATGCACAGGAACAAGAGCTGCATGTTGAAAACGATGCCTGCAGCCTACTACTACGTTTGCCCATCTCATAGCGTTGCCTTTCTGGAGATCATTTCGAAGACGGCGTCCAATGACGAGTCCATCAACTCCTGCTGCATCCGTGCAAAAATCGAGAAGATTTGATCCCATCAAAATGCTGCTGCTCCTCCTCCTGTTGAAGCTGCTAGCTCTCGCCAAAATACCAGCTAGTGTAGCATGGACCTTTCAAGTATGCTCCTTGAGAGTTCTACGGTGTGCCAATGCTAATGGCATGATTCTCCTTCCCAGTATGAAGGCATGAAGACTGTTGCTGGCGACATCTCCTACCACTACCATCACAAGGCAGCTGCTAGCTGTTTCTCCAAATACGTCCCTGCTTTGTGGATCATGTTTGAAATGACCTTCGTATTCCTGAAATGGAAGCCCAATCAATGGACACCAACTTTGAGACTCTTGTGATTGCGTGCACTCATCCCGAAGCCTGGAGCAGTGTCGCGTGGTCTCTGAGACGTTCCGGTAGCCTCTCGCACCTTGGGCCACATCCATTCGCAGTCGGCTACATGGTGGTCTGTGCCTTCAGCCCCATGGCTCCCCACAAGCTTTGCGATGGACATAGATTTTCTCAAACCCCACAACATATTTGTTGACTTGTTGCCTTCTACGAAACCATGGTATAAAACTGATTGAAGTGAAGTGCTCAGATACCTGAACTGCGTAGAATTGGCCATCCAAAAAGCCAGCAATCTGCAGTCATGCCACAGCAGCAAAAGATCACAAAGGAAATGGCTGTTTGCATGTAGTGCGTCTGTGCACGTCATGGAACTATCGCTACTCTGACAGTAGGCGAATCGCATCAGATTACGCAAGTCATCAGTACGTTCTGGATGTGCTCCACAAATAAAATCGTGGCTTCCTTGCTTCCTCGGCACCAAGACATCATAAGCACTCGCCAGCCGATGTCTTGCTGCTCCAAGAACACCATGCCGCATCGAGAGACCTGCAGGCGGAAAGAGTAGTCATTCAGTATGTTTGGGCTGAGGGCAATCAGCAACTAGGCCCTCGCACACTTTCAGATGCAGATACTTCAACATGGACATTCAGTAGAATCTTTCTTCAAGAGCGTTGGGTCCATCAACGCCTAAAACGGAGACCTTTCTCTCACCAGCAAGTCTCGGTGCTAGACTGTGGCTGGCGAGGCTGCAGACAAGTCCTCCACCTGTGAACAGGGAGCAACCTTTTGGAAAGTGGACAGGCTACAAATGCCGTAAACTGATCAGCCTCAAACATCATGGTTGTCACCGGCGTCAGCCTGAGGATGTGTTCTTATATGTTCTTGAGCGATGCATAGAGGATGAAAGTGTGCCAAGCACACTATGAGCTGAAGGATGCCGAGGATCGCACTTGATGATCTCGCCACTATTCAAGCAAAGCTTCTTGTTGTCATCCAAGACCGTGTTCAAGTTTTCGATCCACACCTACGGCTGCACGAAACTGAGCACGCAGCGTTTGCAGCGTGTACCCCAACACTTTGCGATCGGCACTTGCTCCAGAAACAGTGGAGCTCACACAGCTTCAGGGAACATGTAACATCATAGTATGCTCGCGCACCGCATCGACGGGACCATCAAGTAGGATCCATTGCCTGCCGCACTGAGCATGCACTCATGCGAAGTATACAAATACTAAGCTGGGATGCTGGTTCAGTTTTAACGGCCTCTTCGATTGCTCTGCGGCAGAAGCGTGGCGCACCGTCAGTGCCAAAATGCCATCCTCACTGCTGAAGCCAATAAGTCAAATGGACCCACGATGGGTTGATTTTGAGCAAGAGGGCGCTACTACTACTCCTACTCCTGCCTACTTCTACTATTCCTAGTAATACTACTGCTGCCATGACCGCGGCGACAACAACGAGTAAGTGTCCGAGCAAGCGGCGGTCCACTCGTGCGTAGCCTCGTCATTCTCGCCATAGAGCTGGCCCTGCGTAATGGACCTGAGGACAACTTTGACACGCAGCCCGTCGGCCCAGCAGCCAGAGAACTAAGGCGGCATCTTGGGATTGATCTTGTGGATCAGCACCTCAGAGCTTGATGCAGTGGTCGACCCTTCTGCCGAAGGCAATGGTGGAAAATTGCTGTCTCGACTCTGAAATTGCAAAGACTCAACACCGAAATCCTTTCTCTTTGTCCGCCTTAAGCCTTTTTTGCTCCTAAAAGGGTCCAAAGAATTGGAACACTTGCCTGACATACAGGGTACAGGTTTATTTTTGTCTGGTCCGGGCTCGTGTGGCCCGGTCCTGGTGGCCCGGTCCCGGGTCCCGGTGGCCCGGTCCCGCTGGCCCGATCCCGGTGCCCGGTCCCGGTGGCCCGGTCCCGGTCCCGGTCCTTGCCGTCTGTCCTGCCCAGGTCTGGTTTTGGTGGCCTGGTGGCCCGGTCCCGGTCCCGGCTCCGGTCTGCTTTGATGGCGGTGGCCCCGGTCCCGGCCCCGGTCCCGGTGGCCCGGTCCCGGTGGCCCGGGTCTCAG